TATTCGATAAAACTATTGAATTAAATCCAATAAATTATTCAGCATATTTTAATAAAGGTTGAATCTTATTTGTAGTTTTAGGGACAGCATTAGTATAATTGAATAAATTTAGAGAAGCTCTTATTTGTTTTGATAAAGCAATTGAAATCAATCCTTTAGACATGATGTCTAGTGTTAATAAATGTATTTTTTTAAATCAAACTTAGGTCTTACTTTAGATAAAATGAAGCAATATGATGATGCAATCGTTTGTTTTGATTAAGCTATTAAAATTCATCCTAAGAGTAGAGAAGCATATTATAATAAAGGTTAAAAATTGCAATTAATAATCATAAGGTGTGACTTTATTTAATTTGAATAATATATAAGAAGCTTATGAGTGTTTTGAAAAAGCTTCAAGATTAGACCCTGATCATAAAACTTCATTATTGGCTAAATGTTAACCTTAAATTATTATTTTAGGTCGGTCACTAAAAATTTTAGAGAGATATGAAGAATCAATTGTTTGCTATGATCAACTGATAAAGAAAAAAATATTTTATGAAGAAGCCATTTAACAAAAAGGTAAATTAATAATTAATTTTTCAAGGCGAATTGCTATTAAAATTAGAAAGATATGAGGAAGCAAATAAATATTTGAAAATTTACAATTCTTTAGTACCAGAAGACAAAAAATTAAAAGAATAATTATGTAAAAATTATTGCCATCAAAAATAGTTAAAGCCTTATTATAAGCCTCAAATATAACTTAAGAGTTAGATTTTTGATAAATAATTTTTAGAAAAATCCATAATAATAATGTTTAATTTTGTATTTCTCTCTAAAACCTTAATTAAAATAAATTAATAGGCTCACATGCTATTTGTTATTTAATAAATTTATTTGAATTTTCTTTATTAAGAGATTATTAAATCAAAGGAACTTCTTTAAATTCAAATTATAAAATTTTTTTTTAAATTCAAATAATTTTTACTTTGACTTTTTAAATTAAATTACTTTTTTGTTTTCATTAACATCTATATCTTTCAATATCTTTAAATTTATTTATCAAAAGATAATAAATTAAATGTTATAGAAGGTTCAAATATACTTTAATAATGAGTGATTATTTTATATATAATTTATTTACAATAAGTCGTTATTTATTTGAGATGAGTTTTTTTATTTTAATAATCAAAGCCATGCTTTAAATATTTTCTTCTTGAAAACTTATAATTTTGTCAAAATTTCTTTATTTTAACTTTGATTTCAGACTTTAAATTTATAAACTTAAAATTTCAGAAAAAAGAAAAATTTTAGAATATTTTTATTAAAATATACATGGGAGTTTCTTAATAAATATATTTATTAATTTTGAAAAATGAATTGCCCTGATCATCATCTAAATCTAATACCTTTGATTTGTGAATCTAATCACAAATGTTAAAGAAAACTTCGTGTTAAATGTTAATATGATCAGGGAGTGGATATCAAGTTTACAGTTCCCCTTAATAAATTTCGAGAAAAAATGGATAGGAAATTATTAACTTATAAGCTGATTGATGGTTCATCAGAAATAATTGAGTTGAGAATAGAATTTAAATAATTGTTATCTCAAATTGAAATAACAATAAAACAATTGTGGGAAGATCTATCAGAATCAATTAAATAAATATATGATATTATTGAATAGGAGAATTAATCATACATTGATCTCATAAAAAAAATGAAAATCTTGCATAATCTAGTTATCAGAAATTAAAAAGGATAGTTGATATTTTGGAAGGCAAAACCTTAGATGATTGGGATTCTTAAAAGAATACTTATTTGTAGAAATTGCAAAAAGTTCAGTTATGGTTAGATAGTGAAGTGAAAGGTTTTACTACAATACTTACAGATTTAATAACTTAAATCAATTCAATAATTAAGTAATTCTATTAATTATAAATTATTCAAATAGAAATTAAAATTAAGAACAATATATTTGGAAAGAAGGTACTGAAGAATATATAGGGATTATATGGGATTATGAATACGATCCGCCAAGGCCAACAAAAACAAAATTCCAAATAACTTTTACTAAAGACAAACAAATATTATATTTGAGGGATGAATAAATAATAAGAACGTATTTGTTCTATTCATATATAAAATTTATAGAGAGCAATTTAAAGACTATTCAAGGAAACCAGAAGTATTGATTAATCTAGAATAAATATATAATCTGTAATGGGTTGGTGAATATTGAAAGAATAAATTCAAGTTAGGAAATTGGAAAGCAATTGGAATGGATAGATCCAAAAAGATGTTGGTGGATTGTACTTGATTGATGGGAAGAAATCAGGTTTATGGAGGGATTTAATAAAAAATTTTTGGACTAAAGGTAAAATTCAAAATCAATTTCAAAGCTTAAGCATATGAGGTTGGAGAATATACAAATGACAAAAGATAAGGGATTTGGAAATATATCTACATGGATAAAGAAATGTATTAATAATAATATTTTTAAAAGAGGTGGTGGAGAATATAATAATTAAGGAGAAAAAAATGGAAAATGGATAGAATTAAGTGAAGAATTTTATTAACATTCATAAGTTACTTATAAAGGTGAATATTTAAATGTAAAAAAGTTGGTAATGGGATATTTTTTATAAGGGGAAATATAAGAGTAAATTTACAAAAATATAAATATTAGGTATTAATAATTTAGCGGGAGGTGGATCATATGATGAAGGAGGCTAAAATAAGATAGGCTTTTGAGTAAAAAAATTATTTAGTGGTGGTGGATCGTATGATGAAGGATCAATTAAGATTGGAAGATGGGTTGAATTGAGTGAAGATTAATGATGATTCATAAGTCACATATATTGGTGAGTATAAAATTGGTAAAAAAATTGATAGGTGGGATATTGTAGCTTGGGCAAGAAAAATGTAAATGTTTTATTTAAAATTAATTCTTAGTGGTGGAGGATCATACACTGAAAGAGATTCAATTAAGATTGGAAATTGGATTGAATTGAATTGAGTGAAGGGTTCAAATATAATTCGCAAGTCTCTTACAAAGGAGAATATAAAAATGGTAGAAAGATTGGTCGATGGGATTTAATATTTGATGGAAAATAGATGTAATATTATTTTAATAAAATTCTAGAGGTGGTGGATTATATAAAGAATTGGAAGGAGATTCAATTAAAATAGGAAAATGGATTGAGATAAATAATTAGTTTTGGCTGAATTTTTAAGTTATTTATACTGGAGAATATAATACAATAGGTAACAAAGTAGGAACATGGGTAGAAATAGATTTGGAGATAAATAAAAATTAAAGGAAATTAAATATGAAAATTGAATCAAATAGTAAAAATAGATAATATCTATTCATTCACTAGAATCTCAAATAATTTAAAGTTTCATCTTATTACTATAACATTTTTATTTTAATTGGTCAATCTGATCATTTTCTATTTTGATTTAAAATGAAATTTTAATTAAATTATAAAGTTAACTCAATTTAGTACTATATTAAAAATCTAGATCTATTTTAATATTAATATAGGGTCTTGCTCTCTAATTATCTTTATATTTATTTAATATAACTAAGATTTTTGAAAAAACAATTTTGAAATTTGAAATCAACTTTTTTATGAATTTTTGTAAAATTAATACTGCACATAAATCTACATTTTGCTAGAAGAGATTTAATAATAAATACTTAGTCAAAGCAAAGCAATTTAAATCTATTGATATAATACTTAAATTTCAAGAGCAAAAGAGCCTTCTTTAGTAATATCTTATCCTTTAACTTTATTCCTTAAGACTTTTTTTTAACAATGATGGTAGTAATATGATATTTGATTCAAAAAAATAAGATTGATCGGATATTAAACATATTGAAAAATCTAAGAATATTATTAAAGAGCACTCCATTTTATGTAATAAATAGGGTTAATTAAATGAACCTGCCAAATAATATTCTTAATCTCAAATTATTGACGCCCTCTATTATAAGTATTCTCTTAAAAATTTAAGGCAATTATTATTAATCATAAAGTGAAATAAAAAAATTAATTATATAATCAAATAGAAATTTAGTGTATAATTGAAAAATTAAAATGCATATAATGCAGTCACGGGAAGAACTTTTCAGATTAGATTTCTTGTGATATCATATTCTGTTATGAAACAATTATACAATTAGTCTACAGAAAGGGGGAGTATTCTAGAATTAGAAAATAAGTTATAGAGTTGAAAAATATATATTAATTATTCAAGCAATATTTAAAAAAAGAAATAAAATATATCAAATCAATAAAAATAAGTTTTCAATTATTGAATTTAATTTTCTACAGTGCTTTATTTATTAATTTATATTATCCATTTTACTCTTAGTTATTCTTTCTTTTAATTTGTTATCTGTAAAAAATCTGGCTGAATTTTCATCAAAAAATGAATTTATTTTACCATTTGATCTTTATTCATTTCTATCTTACTTAACAAATAGTTAATTAAGTTATGGTAGAACATAAAAGAGACTGCTCGTTTATTAAAATATTAAATAATATTTTCGATTATTTGTTGAAGTTAAACCTTTTGTTCTTCAGTATATATTTGTAGTGGTACTTATTATGGAAGGATATCGGGGACTAAGTTTAAATCAAATTTAGGATGATAAACTTTGAATTTCATTGATTGTTCTTTAAAATCTTATTGGTTGATTATGTGGAGGAAATTTTCATGAACTATTTGCACTAACTTATCTAAAATATTTCTGATTCTTGTTATTCTACTTTCAAAGACAGAAGGTAACTAATGAGCAAAAGGTTGAAATGAAGGTAAATTTTGAATTAGAACATCTTTAGGAACAATTTAAACAGATTTTTCTACAATTTTAATTTAATAAAGCTCTTTATCAAGTTTTAATAATTATCCAATTTATAAGATCCTAAAAGCATTAGTTTTAAATTAATAAGCGATAGGTTTTTATTTCTTCCAATAAGTCATTTCGATAGTTTTCATGGTTTATAATAATTATTCAAATTTAAGTGGCAAAGGATATTTATCTTAAATTAATCCAAACCTTTATCTAAGGCTTCTAAAGTTGATAGTTTAAGAAGGAGGTTATTCAATTTAGGTGTATTTCATTCCTAAGATCTCACTTAGATGTCTAGTGGATTCCTCCTCCCCTTAGAATTAATTGTTTTACTAAGTTTTTATTAGTTTGTTGCTGTTCATTTGATTTATATTAATTATTATGATCAGAAATTGCAATCTGATCTTTAAAACCATAGAATTAATAGAACAAAAATTGAAAGGCTTTAGAAAAATATTATATACGAAATGTTCATTTTAATAATTATTTTATTTATAAAAATTATGGGAGCATAAATAAAAAACATGTCACAATAATTATGATTCCGAAAAATGATACAAGCTGGATAGTGAAATAATAAGAATTCATTTTAAGACAATTAAAGAAAAAACATCAGCAGGACCAACAAAAGCACCTAATAAAAATTACTCATTGCTTTTATTACTCTTTAAAATGATTTTTATCCAATTATTTAATTTAAGTTTGAATTATTAGAATGGACATACTATGGGGTTCGCAATCTTAGGCAGCAATTTTAACACTGAACTTAATAAATAAAATGCACTTTTCACTTTAAAATTGAATGTATACCTAATGATTAAGAAACTCAGTATTTTAATGTCAAATGAAATTTTTTGAACAACTTCAATTGGAATATGTAAGAGATATAGAATTATAAAATGACTCAATTTATATGACTCCTATTGATTATGGATGTTCTAATTGAATCGATAAAATTTAATAGTAAATGAATAAATTCTTAGGCAAGTTCAAAGAAAAATAATGAGGAAGATGTTAAAAACATAGATAATAGGATTTCAATTTAATTTTTCTTTTTCTTAAAACTAGAATTCAAAGTAATAAATTTTTTTGAGTTTAAATTTTAAGATATATATGGTATTAAAATTTGATTTTAATAGCTTAGAGATATAACAACCGAAAATTTTCTCATGAAGATTACGATTAAATGCAATCCTCTTATATTTTTTAATTTCAAATCTCTTAGCTATAATTTTTTTCACTTTGCATTAATTTTATTTATGCCATAATTAAAAAAGGGATCATTTGAAATCATGAGTTCTCCCTATTTACAAATATTTTTATTTAGGAATTTCATCTATGCTAAACCTAACCTCAAATTAAATTTGTATTTTTATAAAATGCTTAAGTCCAATTAATAAATCATTTCGAATCATTAAAATTCAATTAACCATTCTTATTTAATTGAATTATCTTCTCTACAATATCTCGAATTTTACTTAGATTTCAAAGAATTAATTTACCCTGATCATATCCTGAAGTTCTATTAATTGGCTTTTAAATACTAATACTTTTTCTTCTTCTATTTATCATCATATTCTTATATTCTATAATTTATTTCTATTATTTTATTTTTGGAGTAGAATAATCCCAAATATTTTTTAGATTGTGTTCTTGGTGTAGCTTACATTCAACTATGCTATAAATTTCTCTTAATATTCATAAACTTTTTCTATTTTTTAATTTTCCCTTTGTTAAATTATCAACTAACAATTGGCTATTATATTCTAATTCACATTTTACTTTTTGTATATTGAAAATATGGAGAAGGATAAATTTATTAGATGAATGGATAATTAATTAAAAGATGATGGTATCTTAGAATTCGTAGTTGATTAAATTAGAGAATTAAGATTACCTATTTCAATTGTTCTGATTAGATTAAATTTGAAAGGATTACTAGTTGTCACTTAATATTAAAAATTTTTTCCTAATAGATTCTTTTAAAATGATACAGATTAATCTTTTATATCTTTTAGATCATTCTATTATATTCTATTACTTTTTTTGTGATTTAATTTAAACTCATCTATTAATATTGATAATTTATGATGACTTTATAATCTAATTTTTCCATAAATGATTACAATCGATTATTTTCTTCAATATCTTTCATTAAATTTGGCAATTCTTGAATTTAAGAACTCGCCTTCTATTCTAATATAAATTATTTTTCTTTTTTCGATTATTCCCATCCGAAAAATTTATAAATTTGGCTAGTTATTTCATTTAATATGTCTTCTTCTAAATATAAAAACCATCATTTTTTAAATTAAAGTTATTTATTATTTTGATGATTATTCTTGAAATTAATTTCGACTGGCCATTCTAATATATTTTTGAGACTGCATTTATAATTATTTTATCCTTGATACAAGATGAAACATTTCCTTTGACAAGTTTAGAATATTCTCTTACAATATTATCTTTTTTTTTAATCTTATGTCTGCATCACTCTAAACTCAAATCCTTTTATACATTAATAACTTTGATTTATTTTATGCAGATTTTAATATGTTCTATAATCATAATTTTATTGACATTTTTCAAACCTCTAGATATTATTCTTGGTTTTTTCTTTAGTTATGATTTCATATCATTCATACTTTATTATACTTTTATTTTTCTTAATTTTTCTATACATAACAATGAATAATAACATATAGGATAAGAACAATTTTTGATAAGAGAAATTAAACAGCATGATCATAATTTAGATCTCCGATTGATTTCAATATTGGTTCCAAAGGAATTTGTTGAAAATTTTTCATTATTTATGATCAGCTCAACTAATCAAAGATAACAACACTTCATAATTAGAGTGAATTAATAAAATCAGGTATTTAAGTAGTCATCATTTAAATTATATACAATTTTATTTCATTTCCTGCAATTCATTTAGACTCAATAATATTCCAAAAATTATATGCTACAATACATTTATCCATTTATATAGTCTTCCATAAATGTGCAAGGCTTTGCATATCAAGAACTAATATAACTAATTTATTTTTTATATTTTTCAGGTAATGTGATGATTTATAATAATTACATCGTATCTTGATATTTATGATAAGTCAAAGCAATTTATTAAAGGTTTCTCATAACATAGTTTATTAATTATTGAATTGAATTTTCTAGACATTAACATATTATGAAACTGCAAGAATTAATAATTTTTGCTGTTGATAAATAAGCTTTAAAAATTTTGATTAGATATTTGATAATATTTCTATCTCAAATTATTGGAGAGATGCTCTTTGATAGTTTTAATTTTCCGAAGCGCCGCTAAATCTAATCAATGATATCTTGATTTTTAAATAGAGTAATTTGTAGAACTAATTTTTATAAATAGGTTAATTTTATTTACACAATCTGAAATTCTTTTAATTTTAGTTTTGAGAATTCTAAAATTTAAGATTTATATTTATTTTTCTTTCTCTTATTACATAATATTTTGCAATATTCTTCTTTTTGTGTTGAAAAGGACCTATAAATAGAGCTTAATTAAAAATGATGACAAAATATTGATATTAATAAATCAAAAAATAATCAATGTTGCAAGTGCCATTAAATTGATGAAGAATGCTGAAAGGCATTATTAACATCTGAAACCAATTTGTCTTCTTTAATCCATCTATATGTGTGATCAGATTGGACATACAAATAGCACTATCAAACCTATAGTTAGCATCTTCACTAGGCCAGCATTTTTGATTCTTCCAAACACATAACATAATTTGAGGATCTTTGAGATTAACTATCACATTTTTGCTTTATATTTCATTGGGATAATCTGAAAATTAGAATGGAACACATGATGAAAAATAATAACTCCATTAGCATGCAGGACCAAAGATTAACAAATAGGTTGATTATTAATTTTATCACAAGAAGAAATGACTTAACAAACTTAGCTAGAAGTGTTCCAATAGCACAGACCATCTGATCCTATTGAACCATAGTGACAAAAGTCAATTCCATATTTACTACATGAATCCAAACTCGATGCAGATTAACAAACCCAACAAATTTGAGATTGATTGATTATTCTAAATTAGTTAGCATACAGGTTTAGATAAGGTACATTCTATTTCATTTAGATCTGTATAGGAACAAACATTTTTAGGTTTCATCCTATTTATTGAACATGAAATACGTTGTTCATTTGATTACCCAGAATTACTTCAATGATAAGTTCCACCAGTAGTTTAGTAGCATTGTTGAAATGAATCCTATTTAATAAGATATGAGGCAGGAGAACAACTATTGCCATTCCAAACACATATTTCTATATTAGCTCTGTCAATATTCTAATATACAAATGAACAATTTGTTTAAGGATAGGATTCACAAGTCATTTACTCACATTTACATGAAGTAACATTTGATAAACATGCTTTATCAAACAAATAGCATTCACCTTAAACTGTTAATTACAACTGATGAATAATTAACAAGATTAATTTTCATTTTTGCAATATCCTTCCTATCCAATTCCATTTGAACATAATTACATAGACTAGATGCTTGTTATAGATGCTCTCTACTTTGACAAACTCCATCAATAGAAACAGGACATAATGATGTTTAAGATAGACATTCTAAGGAGTTCTTTCCTCGAGGTTTAGTGCAAAATTCTGGTAATATTGGATTTAGAATAAATTTACAAGAACCTCCTTATGAGTAATTTGAGTCATAAAGCCAATAGCATTCTGCTATTTAAACACATTAGAGTTGGATTTAAGGACAACCACTTTAAATACAAAACCCTTAATTCCAATAGTAATTAGCTAAATTACATTCACATTAGGTTAATATCTGGGCGCATAAACATTTATTTCTTGGAACAAGCAGTTAATTAAATTGAGTACTACAAGGAATGCAATAACCATCCTCATTGTTTGAGCTCCATCTAGCAGTTTAATCTGTATTGAGGAAACATGTTTTTTTCTGAAAAAAGATTATCTGCAGCAACACAAGCACCATTTTTCCATGCACATGATTAAACAGAATTCTAATTAGTTGGATTTATTGTAAAAGTACACGCGTCTTTATTTAGATAATTTTGACATGTTTACCATTAACATCAATTATTCCAATAACAAATTGATAAGAGAAAAATTTGTTAATAGCCATAGTTTGAATAATCAATTCCAAAATTACATTCATTTGTATTATAATTCCAATAACATTAAAAATATGGTTTTAAGTAATTAAAGCATTCTTATGGATTATTAATGACTTTAAAATTTTGGTTGCTATTTAAAATTGCTGCCTAACACTTTGCAGTAGTAGGATTATAAAATGGGCATCGTAGAGTCTAAGCGATGTATTCATCTGAACTACCAACTTATAATGCTATATTGTACTATGTATTATTATTATTGGTATCATTATTATATTTGATAAATAATCTCAATTTCCTAATCTCTCAAATGTCGTAATATAATTGAGTCAATCTAGAAACAAATAAATAAAAGATCTCATCAGAATTAATGGCATGAAAAGTCTATATATATTATATTTAGAAGGATTCTCAAATTAAAAATAGCGATTTTTATTTTATTAAATCATCTATTAGTACTTAATTTTAGATTTGGTTAGAGAAAGTACTTTATTGAATCTAGATGCTCTTAACTAATAAACCAAACAAAACATACTAAATAAAAAAATGAATTAAGAATTGGGATTTTATAGATTGAGATATAGGGACAAAAACATAAACAATTACTAACAATCAAGATGGAACATTTTTTCTAAAAAAGAGAAATAAATATATTATTTAAGCACTTTGCACCTATAGAATTTATCTCAGTTTCATATGGTTCATAATTTTAAAAATAAAAAAATCCAGATCCAAAATTATTGCCCTGATCATATCCTGTGTAAATAGAACTAATTAAACTTATGAATATCGATTTGATAAATGCTTAATTCAAAATACTAATAAAATTCTATTAGGAATCAATTTTAGAAAACTTAATAAGATAGCAATTAATTTTCTTTTGACAATTAATGAATCTCTATGTTTATTACATAGTAACCCTTTTTTGGTTAAGAAAATTAAATTAGATAATAATTAACATAACAAAAAGTAACATATTTGTTGGTTTCTTGCAGCTTGCATTGTATTAAGTTTACTATTAACCATTTTACTCTATAAATATTGTTAATAGAAACAAGAAGAATAAGTGATTGAAATTTTTTCAATATAAAATTTAATGAAACTTTGATTGATTTATTATAATCTATATATTTATATTTAACGGATAAATATAAATTCACTTTATGCTATTTCCAATATTATAAACTATATTGAAGATTATCAATAATTAGTTGATCAAAATTTAATTAACAGATTGCTATTTTAATAACGTTACTAATTTTAAAATATTGTAAAAAACTATCCTTCTAAATAGTTATTTTAAAAATATTATTCTCCTTTATCTAAATTGATTTAAATTTCTGCTCAAAATAATGCATTTGATCTATTTATTTTCTATGTTAAATTGAATTTGCTATGTCATTTTATAGTAAAGGTATTAATTCATCAAAAGATAGTAAAAATTGTTTTGATTATATTATTCAATATTCTTCATAAATTGCTTATCCTAATTTAGACTTAAATTATGAAGTTTGGAGAATTAAAGCATGAAAAGAAGGTTATGATTGTAGATTACATTTTTTTTTAAAAAGAGAACTTGCAATTACTAATTTAAATCATTTTTAACTAATGGAAATATTAATATTATATCTGATGGATAACTTTTCAATAGTAATTTATGATATGCCCTATCAATTTGGCCAAATTAAACTTATGATTTTACTGATTTATTGTATATAAATTAGTAACAGTGGCTATTGAATTCAGATAATGGAGAATGTTATATGATCGCATCAGAGAAAAAAGGGTTTTATTTTTTTCTATTATGTTATGTATCCAAACTATCCATATATTTAAAACTCACTAAAGAAATAATTACAAATTGTTTTATGATTTTAAAAAATAATTTCATTACAATAAACAGATTAAAAAGATTAAGCTACAACTGTCTTATCAATGAAATTATTATCGCTTATGATTTACATGTAATTTTAATATTTTTTTTTGGAGAAAGGCGTAGTAATTGCGCTACCTAATTAATTAAACTAACAAGAGTTGATATGAAATCTTTAGAAGTCTAGTATTTTCATTTAGAAAGCTCTAAAAATCTATTTAATAATAAAGAAATAAGAAAACTCTATGGAATCGTTTTCAATTTAAGTATGACTAAGAGATTTTACAAAAAATACAGTAATTATCCTGCTGTTGGTGTTTATGCTAAGAATATTGCTGAAATACAGTTAAGAAATCAAAGATATCTTGAAGTTATAAACGAATAAGAAGAATTAGTTCTTTTAGCTAATTAAGATCTATTAAGTCTGAAAGAAATGGAAAAAATATGCAAATCAGGTGCATAACCTTAAGATAATTAATAACTATTTAAATTATATCATCAATTAAATAATGATTTAGATTTCTCTTTGAGTTAAAAAGAACCTGTTTTCGAATTTTATAATCTTCTATCATAAAAAGTTTAACCTGAACATTTATACCATGTATCCATTAAAATTTTCTATTTACCAGTTAAATTTTTGAAATCTTTACCTTCAATATGGTATTATTAAATATTCTAAAAAAATGTAAATTTAATGGAAGCATTATAAAATTTAGAATAAATCATTTCTATACATTAAAATTTATTCAAAATTAAAGTAAACTTGAAATATCTTTAGTTTAAGAGTATTCATTTTGAATTTTCCATATTTACCTGTAGAGGTTTTTTTTATTTTATTTTATTTGTTTTTATTTTTGTTCGAATATTAAATTACAATCATTTAAGATATATTTTGCAATTCATTTGAAACTTTTAGTTTTGATTTTTAGCTTCTGTGTATCTGATTTGATATTGATAAAATCTGTTTAAAATGAAAGAAGAATATATTTATTGAATTTAAATATCTGTATCATAATTTAATTTTATTATTATTAATTTAACAATTTTATTGGATTTAAAATTAATTGAAAAATCATAATCTCTAATAAAGAAAATTATTTTAATAAAAGTATTTGAATAAAAGAATAAATAAGGAAATGAATTTTGTTTTAAATTGTTAAAACAGTATAGTTAAACAATAATATGGAATCATAATTGCATATTTTTCATGTTTTTAAATTCGCAAATGTTTAACAGATATTGCCAAAAATTTTGACCATAAAATTATGTTTTAATGGGTGAAGTATCCCGAGAGAAGAAGCTCCTATGCAATATGAGCTTTTTGTTCCTCCTATATTTATACTCTCGCAAATTGATACAGGCTTTTAAAAATAAAATTAATAGGAAAGGCTACATTTGCTTAACAAAATTAAATTGGATTTTGACCTTTTAATTTTTGCTAAGGGTTCGATTGTAATTTTTACCAGCTTCCCAACTTAAAAGTTATCAACTTAAATTAATTATGTGATGTTTATAGGTAATTATAAATCCTTGTAATCCAGTCTTTGATTGATTTGAGGCAAAATTTTTTCAGAGAAACTTAATTGAACCAAGAGTAATAAAAAATATTTAAGTAAATTTTATGAATTCTTCAAAATTTAGGTAGAATCTTTATTGTGGAATTATGAATTATCCATTATAGTGTATATAGAATATTTTTAGAGATAAATATCTTGCCATAAATTTTAAGTTAGGAGCGGTAGTTTTAATCACAATTTGACCTCTTCATATTAAATCTTAAAAATAAATCTTTAGATCAAAAGTATTTTTATAAAAAAAAGTTTATTTAAAATTAATGTTCTGCTCATCTGTTAAAAGATGAAGGCGAGAGCCTAACTAATGCCGATTCTCTGAACAAAAGTTATTTCTATTAGTGAATAGGCCGTTCCAGTTTCAGGAGCTTAGGTCTATAAGCGATCTATTAGGTAGAAGAGAAAAAAGAAATACATATACGATATACGGAAAGTCAATATTTATGTAAATTTGATGATTATTTTCTTTTATTATTATAGTTATATAATTTGATTAATGATATAATTTCAGATAGAGTTGTTTCTTAATGAGTACCTACTTTTGGAATTATGATAAAAAGCTAAAGTTGGATCAAATACATTTCTAATAATTAAATTATGCTTAGTATTAGCAACTTTGTATACAGATGCAAAAATAAGTCTAACAGCATCCTAAATTTTTCCTATATGATTAAACAAATATAGGGGCAGTTATATATCTAAGAGATATTATTAAAAGCATTGGAGTTTTGATGATTGATATTGTTTCTATTCTAGGCTTATTAGTTTTAGCTCAAGCTTCTCTTTTTGAAAAGTATGGATTCAATAGAATAAAACAAATCCTGTTAAAATGATTATGACAAGAAAAAAAATTTATATAAATCAGAAAATGACATATATTTATATTTTAATCGACAGTTTAAATATTTTAGTATAAGAAAAAGAGAAATCAAATTATAACTTAGAGCCAAAGGTTTGATTCAGGTTTAAAATCAGCAAAGGATAAATCATTTAAATTTTATTTTCAATTTCTAAGATATTTTATTTTGAATAAATTTATGTCTCTTCAGATAAATCTTAAAATAAAAATTTTTATTTGTCTTTTTTTTTTTATTTCGAAAAAATTATCTTTAAAATTTCTAATAGAATTTCCAATAGAATTTTTTTTAATTCTATTACATTAATTTAAAAGTCAATTTTTTTATTTCATAATTTCATGTAATAAATAAAATAATATTATTAGAGTTTGTCACAAGAGCTTTTATTTTTTCTATAAATCCCCGATTTTTAAACTTGTGAAATAAGAGATGAGATTTTATCAATAATGAAGAAGATAATGAGCCATCATTCCCAAATTAATTTGAATAATAATAATTTCAAAATTTAAGATATTGTTAGCTTAATATAAAATACAAATTAAACTTTGGCTTAATAAAAATCAATATTTATTGATTACCTTTAAAAATTTTAATGGCATTTACTAATGCAGTAATATTGGAAAGAAAAGAGTCAAAGCTTATCATCTTAATTCTTATCTGATCCTTTTAATTTTATGAATTTAATTAATTCTATTATCTAATTTAAATTTGATTCTGGCAAATGGTAACTAAAATAAGAGATTTCTTAAATTCTAATAAGATTTAAAACTAGATTATAATTTTGGTTGGAGTATTTTAATTATAACTCTGTCAGTTTGTCATATGAGATCAAAAATTTACAAAAAGATAGGAAAAATATTCCAAAGCCATAAGTAGGTGTATTTTTTATAGGAAACACTAAATCTGGAAAATCAACTCTTATGAATACATTGTATGATCCTGAATCAATGTTTATAAATTTTAATGTGGATGCTATGAACTTCTTCACAAAAAAATAAGACTTTTAAATTGGAAATAATGTTCTTAGTTGTACTTATAAAATTTAATCTTTTGTTAAAAATGAAATAGAGTACATAGATTGCCCTGGTTTTTAAGATAATTTAAGTGAATTTAATCGATCTTAATATTAACTTAACCTTAAATTGGCTATGTAATAATTTAAATAGGTGATTGTTATATTTGTACTTGATAGTTAATGTTGTAGCATTGAAAATATTAAATAAACTTTTTCTAATTTATAGTTTATTCTAAAAAATAAGGATATTTTAAAGAAAGATCAAATCCACAAATTATGGACATTGTTAGTACTAACCAAAACAGAATAGTAAAAAAGAAAAATGTTAATTAAAAATTGGAATAAATTATTTGAAGGATCTTTAGATCTGAATCATAAATATTTTTTAGAAATGTTAAAAGATGAAAATTAATGTTTAGAATTTAAGAGCGCAAATAAACTTTAGGATGAAAAGTGCAAAGAGTATCTTATAAATTTTGCATAATCTATTGAAGACAAAATTGCATAATTAGTCATTAATCAAAAGCATAAAAAGCTTAATATTGAATTTTCTTTAAATGAAAAGGATCCATTATTTTTGAGATACATCAAGTTTATTTCTGTTGTAATGCTTTAATTTAAGGGTTATTTAAGATAATTAAATAAAGAAGTCTAATTTTTATTAAATTATGGAGGGTATATAAATTAGAAATTAAATGCATTATAAGCTCTTTTATAAATTTTAGATCAAGATGAATTTCAAATTAATTAACTTAAAAATTTGAGTAAAAAATTAGGATAATGGTGTGAGAGATTTATAAATAGTCCATCCTTACAAGAGCTTCATCAAGAAGTTTCAATGAATATTGACTCAGCTTTATATTTTTTAGAAAAATTGTTATAAAACTAGATAACAAAAAAGGAAAGTGTAAATTTTGGAAAGTATAGATTATACATATAAGAATAAATAGAATTAGTATAGCAAGCAATCAATCATGAGACAAGTAGAAATAAATTACAAACAATCTTAAATATTTCTAGTTTAGGGATAGGAGCCATTTTTGGAGGATTTTTAGAGGTTAAATCTTCAAATGAGTATTTTAAAGAATTTAGAAATACAGCTAAAAAGGAAGAAAATTATTTTGAGTGAATCTAATTTATCTACAAAAATAATATTTGTTAAAATTTTTATTCCTTATTTTTAAAAAAGATAAATATAATCCAAAAATTTTAATTATCAAACAAAATTTATTACTTGCTGTTTTCTTTTCTGAATTTCAAATCTATTTTTATTTTTAATAACAATTTTTAGGCAACTTAATGCAAATAAGATTCTTATATTTGTTAATAATTTATCCTTAAACATTTGAAAAATAATCATAGGGTATAAAAGAATTCAAAATATTATTATGCATGATTTTTCATCTATTAATTAGCAATATTAATATTTGAGTTATATATGATGTAATTATGACATAAAATTGATATAATTATGATAAAAAGGATTGCAAAATTAAATTTAAGCTGAACATTATTATTTTTGCTTAAGCTTTAAACAAATTTAAATATACAGCAAATATATTTCACAATATATATGAAAAATAATTACATTTGAAATAAAATATTTATAAAAAATTGATTTTAATGGTGCCATTAAGAAAAAGCTAGATTATTGGATGAATTATCTTTATTATTCAAAAACATATAAATAACCAAAACCAGTTACAGTAGAAAATCTTAAAGGTTGTGATTATTTACTTAAAGAATTTTAATAGAGAAAGATAAATTTATTATCTCATGAAATAAATGTTTCATATCAAAGCAAATACATATTACTGATGTGTATATTTCGATGCTTTTTATAAGTTGATTTAAATTTATAATCTAAGATATAGGAATCAGATTAACTATCGTAAGAGATGAGCATTTTATAAATAGCTTTGGTCTTCATAAATCTAAAAGCCCAATTATTTTCATAAATTTATCCAACAATTAAAAAGTATTTTCGAAAAATCATAAAATTTTAGCAATATTAGGATATTTTCATCATTAAAAATATAAATAGTAGTAATTTTACATTAATACAAATTATATGAATTATTAAATGATAGAATTAGCAGGTGAATATAAATATTTAAATTTTTTATTGAAAAAATTATATTATGAATAATTAATTAGAAAAGAAATGTGCTTAACATGATTAAGAATTTTAAGCTGCCAATATAGGGTTAGATAATAATGATAAAAATAATTATAAATGTCCTCAATGTTTATACGAACTAATAAATCCTTAAGAGATGATACTTATTAATGAATCAAAGAGATAACTTGAGAAAAAAAATAAATAAATCTTTGAATACATCGAAGAATAAAGCAAAAAAAAAATAAATTTAGCTAATAATCTAAAAAATAGTGTCTCAGAATTAAAAGGTCCTCTAAAATAATAGTTTAGCAAAATTAATGGGGAGATTGATTTGTTTAAAAATTAAACTGAAGATAGCGATATAATTCCTCCTGAAAACCTAGAAATTGATTTAACGTTATTAACTGATGAATAAAGGAAATTTTAATTAGATAAAGTATTAGAAAAGGATTCATTGTTGTTGAAGTCATTGCTCAATTAATCTTAATTTTCTGAAATATCTAGTCTTACAAAATAAAAGTTGATAGAGATTATTGCTAAGAATTATGAAATACCGAAACTACATATCGAGAGTGAAGATGAAAGAAATTAAAAAACTAAGGTAATTATTATTATCAATTTAGTCAACTCCAGCATTAAAGTTTCTATGTTAAAGACATGATTAATAAATTATCATGGTTTAACTTAATGAAAAGAATTAATTTTAAAATTACTCTTGTGTTTAATGTATTTCAGAAAAATAAGGAAAATACATAACACTTCTTTAATTGTAGTAATCTTTTGAAACTTACTATAAATTATCTGGAAAATCGTTAAAATATTGTTAATAATTAAGGGAGCAACACACAAATGAAATTATAAAAATTTGTAATTAATTACGAAATAAATATATTGAAACCATAAATTTACTAATTAAATAATTAGAAGAAAATTATAAATCATTTGAAAAGATAATAAATACAAATTTATAATTTAAGGACCAAAATATCTTGTTATTTGAATAAGAATAATTATTATAAATATTAAAACCAATATATGAGGATGACAATCCAAACCATTATTTTAAACTAATTGAAAAATAATTAGAATTAGATAAAGAATTAAATTTCAAATTTGAATAATAAATGTAAGAATTAATTGAGTTTAAAATGCACAATTTAAATGTAATTAAGCTTGAATAATTTAATCATTAAATCATATTGAAAAAAGTAGAGAATCAAATAGAATCATAAAAATTATATTAGTAAGATGAAGAGATTAATTCAGAGATTGTTAATTTAGAAAATGAAATAAATATTTTTCTTACAAAAAAATGATACAATGTGTTTTAAATGAATAATTTTAACAATCATTCCAAAACCGGGATAAGTTATACAATAATTAAACACAATTAATCTAAAATATCGTCAAATTATAAGATACATTAAAAAGACAACAAAATTGTGCAAAAGAGCAAACATCTTTTGCATAAAATTTTTAAACGAAAATAAAATATTTAGAAAGTTTAACAACCTTACTAAATTCCTATTCTTTTTGTAATTAAATATAAAAAGAAGTTCAAATTTAAACCAATGAAACAATTGCAAGCACTAATTTGAAAATAAATGAGGTTTTATATTTAAGATAATTGTTAGTATAAGGAAAAAATTAGTGAACTTGAATAAGAAGTCCAATCATTAAAAAAAGAGACTTTATCATTAATATTATCAAATCCTTATTAGCCATAATTTAATAATAGTTATAAATTTACTTCTTACTAAGTAGTTAATTCGAAATTAGTTTCAGGTAAACAATTTTAATCATACAATTAGATACTTAAAAAGGGTTTGGATTAGCTATTATGCAACCTCCATTACCTAAAGATAAAGTAACATCATTCATTTTAAAAATAAATGTAAATATCTTTAATTTTTCAGAAATACGATTAATGGGCAGGAATTGGAATTTGCCACCTGTAAACAGCCTAAAGCTTTGGTTACGATATTAGTTTAAATTATTAATAAAAAAACCATAATACTTATCTTTTATTTGGTGGTGGATTTAGAATGTCAAGCTATTAAGGTTATACTACTGGAATTAACTTTACTTACAGTGCAAGTAGCTTTATTCATTGTTAATATGATCCAATAAATTGTAAGTTAAATTTATTGCATATAAATGTATAAATTAAATAAATTAGGATGGAAAAACATATTAATTAGATTTAGGTAATAATAGTTTAGAAATGTCTCCTTGTGTTGTGCTATTTGGAGCAGAAATAGAACGAATATGAATATAAATAAAATTTTATAAACTTAGATATTTTCTGATAATTATTTAGAAGATTTTTAATTTTAGCAATTAATATTGCAAGAATAAAGTTGAATCAAAAATAGTTATTTAGGTTGATTTGAAAATAGTTCAACTCTAATAATATTTCGCCAATTAAAATTTTGATTACTTTTCATTTTATATTAATTTACTTATTATTTTGGGATCTCTAAATACTGTAGTAAAACAATAACAAAGTAAGTTTTATTTTATCAAAACTAATTTAGTAGATTTAGAAAGATAACTTATGTAAACTTTCTTACTTTAGAAACAATTCTCATTATTTCTGTACTACTATTTAAAATAAAATATAAATTTATTAAGAGTTTGATATAATTAAATTTAGATAATTAATCTTTAAAAGTTAATTTAAAATACAATGTTTTGAATAATGTAAATATATACATTGCTTCTTTTGATTTAAGGTAAATTTCAGAAGTTGAAAAATTAACTAATATTTAAAAAAATACCTTGATATTTTTATTTGAAATTATTTAGAATAGACAATGTTTAGCAACAATATAGCTAAAAGTAATTAATTAATGCTTTTTTGTTTACTAATTATGATAAATTGTTATTCAGCTTTAATTTTTATTTGAAGTACTAGAAAGTAATACATCCCACTTTTTAATGTAAGAGTTCATCTTCATCTGATTTAGATATTTGAAATTTGTTGTCTTTTCAAATAATTTTATTAATTAAGATTTCAATGAGTTTCTTGATCACCTAAATAATTTAAAACAGCAATTGTGTATTTTTCTGAATTGAGGAATAATTGTGAAATTTGGTAAAATTTGATATTTATTTTCTTTCTAATTAAGTTATTATGATAAAACTGAACAAATTGATTAGGAAAATAGATAATAATATGAATACAAAATAGATATTCAAACATAGAGAAAGCAGAATAGCTAAAAAATTATATAAAAGAAATAAAAATAAAGCTATTTAAAAAATATTTTATCGTAGAAATTATCAATATTATTGTTAACAATACTTTCAGTAATTGATTTCTGGGATTAAATGAATAAATTAAGTAAATATACATTAATTTTAAATTCTTTCTTTAAGAATTTTATTATCCATTTCTTTGATCAAATATGACACTTTAGTTAGTTTACATAGTCTAATAAAAATTTTCTGCTCCAAAAAAGGTTTTCCATTTAGTTAAGTTTTTTTATTTTTTTTTTCTCAACAATATTTCATGGAGCTATATATTTTTGAGAAATGAATTATATAATTTTGTTTGTTTTTGTTTACTACATAATTAGATACTTCTGTAGCACTTTAATTGTAAAACTATTTAGAAAAACGCATAATACTTAGAAATTACAGTTATGATTCCATATTTTATCATCATAATGTTATAGATAATAAGTAATACTGAGATTGTTGCAGACATTTGTGAAGTTTATTTTTTGATAAATAACAGCTCATTTTTAAGATTAATATAAAAGATATCCTGTTCTTGTTAAAAGATTAGACATTAAAGAGGAAGAGAAAAAATGAGGAATAATTTATAATGAACTTTGTTTATTGGAAGATTGTAAACAGTTTTCAGTTAGAGATCAATAAATATATTTTAAGACTTGGAATATTTTTATAAGATTTTTCATTTGAATATAGTGTTGAGGATCTACTTATTCATTATCAAGCACCAATTAAGCATTTTTTGGATAGAATTATTTATTCGGTGATACAAGTATTTTTGAATATCCAATATATGTAATCAAAAGATGGCTAAAATAATAACCACTGGATAAATCACCCCTTGATACTTTGATCTTTAGAGAGACAATAAACCAAGATAACTAAGATCACGTAAAGATAGGAGATAAAAATATATATTTGTAATATCATTAGAATACCATTCCAGAATTAAATGGATTCACAATAACTATGTATTCATACAATTTTCTGATTTCAAAAATATACACAAGTACTTCTATCTATGACATAAGTGATTTTGGAGTTTAATATTTAAAATTGCTTTCTAAATGGCGTTATATTTAATACGAAAAAGGTACAAATGAGAACCAAGGGCAACCAATTTTTAAGATATTTTTCCCATCTTTAATTGATAAGCAGAGAATTTTTTATTGGAAAAATTAGATCAAACATTTCATAGGAACAACTATGTATTATTTTATGTAGGGGTGATGTATAAGTGATGATATGTAATTAGTAGCTTATTACACAATTACTATTATTACATTATCCCCTAATTGTTATTATCCATTTCTAATTTGTGATGGTCTATTTCTGTGCTTGCAAAATAAAATATGAAGTTACTGAAAATTAACCAATCTGCAAATTAGCATCAGAAATTTTTCCAAAAATGACAGAAGTAGAATTGCAATTACCTTGTCCTCAGGGTTATGATGTCTGTACTGAGGAGTAAATACTACGTTGATTCGGTTATTTCTTCTATTAAAGCTATGGAGTAGATTTGAGAGGATAATGCTTAAATTGTACAAGAAGTTTGATTTTATGTTTGGTCAATCATCGTTTCGATACTTAATGTATGTAGTAGGTATATTCACATATAAGTCAGATTATGAATTATATATTTGTATGATTATAATAATTGTAAAGAGGGATATTTTAGAAGAAATGATAATTGTATTTCCTGCAAAAATGCAAAACTTGTTAACATGAATTAATTTGCAATACTTGATAATTCTGGATATAAAGTTTGTTCTATGTCATAGGAAACAGTTATATGTAAGAAGTATTCAATTGGAACATATCTATCATCAAATGGTTATTGTATTCCTTGTGGATGTAAATACTGTAAAACCATTCAAAGTTTTTTTGACATTTGATGATCATAATTGCCAAACTTGCAATATTACAAAGTTTATTTATTGCTATTAATATTACTTTAAGACTATTATATTAATTTGAAAGTAAAATTAAATTAAACTGATAAAATATATTCGATCTATTTCATTCAATACCTCTTAAATAATAAACAAGTTTATTCTTAATGACCTTCTGATTTGAAAAAGCATGTATTTTTGTTATCCTCAATTCTATAAATATATATATATATATACATTAAGTCTTCCTTATACTTCCAAGTACCTTACCTCTAGTCATTCAAATATCCGAGTACCGACTTTTAGAACCAAGAATTATATTTATTGTTTTTTCTGATATCAATTACTTTTACTAAAAAAAATTAGCCTTTTAATTTATATCATAATTTATCAATTTTATTTCACTTTCTTTTATAGGATTCTTGACATTTTCTATCATAAATTTTGAAATGTACACTGCTGTAAGTTCTACTCCATCTACAATAAATAAAGTTGGTGCTATGTCTAAAGAAAGGTAGATTAAAATTATATCACAATAAAAAAATTTATTTCCCTTTTGAAAATAATATTTAATTTAAGTATAACAGCAATACAATAACCCTTAGTATTCTATTTGTTCCTGACTAAATCTGTTACATAAACCTCGACAATTTAAAAATTTAAGAAAATGCCATATGAGTGACTTCAAATATAAAATGAGATTTTTTATAGATTTAGGGGTTTGATCTTTTGCTTAATATGATGTATCTACAACTACATCATAAGTTTGAATAGCATATAAATCATCGAAAAATAGTTAAATCTAAATTGAAATTTTTACCTTATAATAAAATTACTAGAAATTGTTAAATAATCTTCACATGCACCCATAGCTAAGTTAAGACTCAGTATTTACTGATTAATATAGTATTATTTCATAAAAATTTAGAAAAGAGAGGGGATGTATATTATTCTTCAGCTAGTAGTATTATAATAATTAAAGATTGATTAAATGATTATGATTCAAAAATTTCTGGATATTCCTTAATTGAAGAAGGATTAAAAATATTCAATTAGAGTTGATGCTAATGTATTTTGAATTTTTTCTTATTCTTAATTAATTGATATTATTCATAACATATTTGATTAAGTAAATCCCTTGAATTAATTCATGAATTAATTTGATTAATTACATTTATGCCCTCTAAACAATGGTTTATAATGAACGTATATAGCAAATTAATGGATATTGAAAAAATCGAAAGAAAATTTAGTAAAAAGGGAAGCAGATAAATGAGAAAAATTTTAGCTAAAAAACTGGAGTTTTTAAATAAAAAAATACTAAAATAGGAATTAGAACTTATATAAATAAATTTGGTTGGCACTTATTTCATTAAAATTAAGCAGATAGTCATTTATGAATTTCTACTTAGAAAAGAAACAGATTTTAAAATTTTATAATAAAGAAGCAAACTCATTATTTAGATGCATTAAATGATTAAAATATTAAATAACGATAACCGAAAATACTAATTTCTAAAAGAAGAATGAAAAGAATTATGTTTGACCATTATTAGTTTTTATATGCCACACATCAATCTGTTTAAAAGAAATTCATGGATTTTTAAGTGCCTAAAAATATAATAAAGAAATCTTATATTTTAGCATACTTGAATAACTTAAGCTCTTGCATTATTTTCAAGACAAAAATTAAATATAATGAAAAAATCAAACATTCTGGTTTCCAGATGCATTTTTATTAAGTTGATCAATCTTGTATTTTCTTTAATAAATCTGATCTGGCACAGTAAATACTTGTTCTTAATTAATAATAAAGTAAGTAAAAAAGCTAGTACTCGTTGTTTTTTACAAATAAAACTTTTAATACTTGTGATGCCAATATCATTTTTTAATTAATACGATGGGTGTACTATGTTAATTAATGATATTATATAATATTAATTATTTTCTTTTTACCTAATTTTGAGAGATGTAAATGGGATAGTGCAAATAATTAATGCTTAGAGGTTGAGAGAGACTTACAATTCATGTGATATTGTATATGGTTGGTTTTTAGAATGGCATCAAAATAATGTGATAAAATTAGATAAATTTAATAGTTTAGTTTATTCAAATCTAACAATCATAAAAGCTTGTTCTGGAGATGAATAATATAAATGCAGATAAGTAGTTTTCCAGATTAATTGAAATTAGATTAATTTGGAGCCAATTATACAAGACAAATGGAAAATGCAAATATGATGTAAGTTTTAGGATCATGTGTTGAAGATTTAAGTACTGCTAATGGAAGTTCAGATTAATTAAGTTAAGAAGCTTGTCCTAATCAAAACGATATTTTGAAAATTAATTAGTAACACTTGTTGATAGGATCATTTAACTGGATATACAAAGTATGTCATATATCAATGATGTAACAACTACAAGAATTGTGAAATTCTTGATGTTAAGCAAACAAAAATGCTATTTTTTTCTATTCTACTTTAATTTTTGATTGTTTATGCCATTCATTATACTTACATCAGTTTAATACAACATATAGAATTTTTTATTAATTTGTATGTAATTTAACTACAAAAGATGAAATAGTTATCTTTAGGCTCTTTTGTTTTTTTATAAATTGGAGATCTAAAATTACCTGACCTAGAATTAATTTTATTGTTTTTCTTGTAAATTACTCATTCAATATTTTTTTATTTCATTTCTTAATATTATAAATTAATTAATTAAAGGATTTAATAATTTGTAATTTTTTATAAATATCTTATAGCTCTTTCCAAGTAGGTCTTATTATTTAAAAAAAATATAATCTGGTTGGGTTAACTTACTTTATTAGATCTAAATTTATTTATGGAGAACTAGGATTAGTCATTAGAGGATTCAGCGATCTCATATTCTCTTGATTAATTATCAGGACTAAAAGATTTTACCTTTAAAATTCTTCAAATTATTTGCTAATCAAATAAAAAAGTCTTGAATGTTTCAGGTATTTAAATTAATTTATTATTTCATTAAGCAGTTTACTAAACTTCTGTAAACTTTCTCTTTTTTTCAATTATGTTAAAATATCAAATCTTTTAGCTTTTCCAATAAATTCTTAATTATATTTACGGATTAGGAAATCAGACTTAAAATTAGAACTAATTCATTTATTTCTGCTCTATTTTCTAATTTTTACTTGTTAGTCTCTTTTTACTCAATCCATCAAATTTAAGATAAGTACAAATTATTTTCATATCCTCTGCAAAACTTTCTTTTTCATTTGTAAAGAGTTGTGCTTTTTGAAGTTAATTAAATTTTGTCAGCATAGTTGCAAAAGCTCATTTTTTAATTCATAATATGTTTTTACATGTTGAATCAGAGTATGACAATTAATGGAGGATGTAAAATATGCAAATATTACACTACAGGATTTAAAAATCCATATATTTACAATACTTTTTGAATTATGAGTAAGTAAATAATTTAGATTAAATCTAGAGAGATTACTTTATATTACTAATTCATCATCATCTTAATATCTACAATTATTTTAAGTGCAGAAAAAATACTTCTCTATTAAATGTACAAGAATTAAAATAATTAGGTTATTAAAACCAGAATTAGATAATACTTTAAGAATAGCCATTAGTCGAGACTGTTGAGGTTGAAGAGGGAATTTATTATTAAATCTACCTCCTAAATTATATTGAAAAAGAATAAAATTAAAAATTAAACAGAAAAATAATAAAATAATAAAATAAAGAGTTATAAATCGTGCTATTTATATATATTTTATTATTCAATATTTCTTAATTGAATTCATCTTGAAATAGGATCTTCAAGATGCATATTTTATTGTCCATTCTCTTGCTATTAAATCATAAAGTTATCTATCTTTTTTATAAATCATTCCGATTTCTGGTCTTGAACATTCATCTGGATTTGGATCATATAAGAACGATTAAATACTCAACAACACTACTTAAGTGATTACTAGATTACCTTTACTAATTGTTAGGGCTGGGCACCATTAATCTCTCAATAAATTTAACCAAATGGTTCCATCTTCGGCTATATTTGGGTGATAGATAGGAGTAACAAATTTTATTTTTGGTGGTTAATATGGATAGCCTTCAGGAATTTGGATATCGAGAAAAAATAGACCACCTTAATATGGGGTGTTCTCAGGACCTATGATAGTGGCCTACCAATGGAGTAAATCTTTATCATCAATAAGACCAGCTGAAAAATTTGAAGAGGGATCTTTAGATAGCTCAGCTAATTATTTTTGAATATTTTTAAGTGCCACTTTTTTCATTTTTTTAATTTTTATTTATAAAAAAGTTCTGATTTATATACACAATTTATATATTATTATTATTTACCACAAAATTTAAATTATTCTATCAACATTTAAACACAAAAGATACTTAGGACATTACAGATATTATGTAAATCACAATCTTATATCTAATTATTTATTAATTAAAATGCAATAATATTTATCAAATAATCGTAAATAATTAATTCACAATCAAATATATATATTCATAATAAGTTTGATTAATTATTAAAGTAGTTAGGGTTGGTCCACTAGTATTTTTCTTTCAGTAGTCACATTAGACTGCATTCTCTAACCATAGTGTTGAAAAACTAAAATAAAAAAAAATTTTTACATAGAGCAAAAAAAATTTTCCAAAAAAAAATAATAACTACCATGATCTTTTGAAACACCAAGATTTTTGGCTAGTGGATATTTATGATAATCTAATATTAGATCAACTTTAGAATTCTATCTTATTTGCTTGAGTTCCATAAACTAAAATTTTGCTATCAGCTGAAAAAGCAATTGAAGTAATTTAATATTTATTGCCAAAATTATCTAATTTTTTTTGATAATTATTAATATTTCAAAGTTTTATAATACCATCAGCTCCTACAGATGCTATTAATTCACCATTAGGTTAATATTATACTAATTTAACTTCTTGATTGTCCAAATGACATTTGTTAAATTAGAATAATTAAAATTACATGAATTTATGTTAATATTTGAAAATTTAGAGTTACTTAAGTCTGTAAAAAAGAAATTAAAACCTGATAAATTTGTATTTGATAATTAAATTTACTAAAATTTAATAATCTGGATAAATATTTAAATAATTTAACAAATATATGCTATTTGAAGATGCATTTATAAATTAATTATCACAAGATAATTAAACTATATAAATTAGAATATTTTTAATGTTTTCTACACTTTTTAATTTTTCTTTATAAATATCTTTTGATAGATTCATTCTATCTTTATTATATAATGAGTCTAATTTTTAAGTATTAAGAGAACTTAAAAAACTTAAAATGTATTTTGAAACTTAAAACTCTTAGATGGATTTGTGAGTAAAAGAATAACTACATCCTTTAGCTTTCAAAAGTATGAAATCAACACTATTTTTCAATTTCAATTTCCCTTTTTATTGATATTTAACCAATGATAATTAATTTATAGTCATTTCTAAAGCCAAATTTGATGAAAAATTGTAAAGATGTACTTGAATTTTCCAGTTTGATATTTTTACTTAATCTCTTAGCATTTAAATTTATTAATCATGATAGAAATGCATAAAACTTTCATAAAATNCATAGTGTTGAAAAACTAAAATAAAAAAAAATTTTTACATAGAGCAAAAAAAATTTTCCAAAAAAAAATAATAACTACCATGATCTTTTGAAACACCAAGATTTTTGGCTAGTGGATATTTATGATAATCTAATATTAGATCAACTTTAGAATTCTATCTTATTTGCTTGAGTTCCATAAACTAAAATTTTGCTATCAGCTGAAAAAGCAATTGAAGTAATTTAATATTTATTGCCAAAATTATCTAATTTTTTTTGATAATTATTAATATTTCAAAGTTTTATAATACCATCAGCTCCTACAGATGCTATTAATTCACCATTAGGTTAATATTATACTAATTTAACTTCTTGATTGTCCAAATGACATTTGTTAAATTAGAATAATTAAAATTACATGAATTTATGTTAATATTTGAAAATTTAGAGTTACTTAAGTCTGTAAAAAAGAAATTAAAACCTGATAAATTTGTATTTGATAATTAAATTTACTAAAATTTAATAATCTGGATAAATATTTAAATAATTTAACAAATATATGCTATTTGAAGATGCATTTATAAATTAATTATCACAAGATAATTAAACTATATAAATTAGAATATTTTTAATGTTTTCTACACTTTTTAATTTTTCTTTATAAATATCTTTTGATAGATTCATTCTATCTTTATTATATAATGAGTCTAATTTTTAAGTATTAAGAGAACTTAAAAAACTTAAAATGTATTTTGAAACTTAAAACTCTTAGATGGATTTGTGAGTAAAAGAATAACTACATCCTTTAGCTTTCAAAAGTATGAAATCAACACTATTTTTCAATTTCAATTTCCCTTTTTATTGATATTTAACCAATGATAATTAATTTATAGTCATTTCTAAAGCCAAATTTGATGAAAAATTGTAAAGATGTACTTGAATTTTCCAGTTTGATATTTTTACTTAATCTCTTAGCATTTAAATTTATTAATCATGATAGAAATGCATAAAACTTTCATAAAATTCATATATCGTAAATTTCTTTATTTTTAATGCTTGAACTACAAATTTTATGTCTTCTTTCTTAATTCTTATTTTATTTTAATCATTTATAATGGATATCTCTGAATTATTTTTATCAAATTTTATATTACTTGGTATACTCTCAAAGTCTTATTCTTACTCATCATTTTCAGAATGCGGTTATCCTAATGATTATATTATTTTTATAAATTCATTATATTTTTCTAATAGATTTTTAAAAATTGAAATATTCTCAATTTAATTTTAAACTTACAGAATTTGAAATTAAACTTCCATAAAAAATTCTAGTATTTAAGTTTTTTCCTATTGACCACAATCCTTTTTAATAACAAGAAAATCAAATTGTATTTAAGATAGTAAACTATTAGTTGATAAGGGTATTGAAGTGGTAGAAAGAGCTTATGTAATTAAGATTTAGGATTTTGTAACTGCAGAATTGGAATAATAATTTGATAAGGTGTATAAAATGTCAAAAAGATTATTAAATGAAGAGGAAGAGGATTTTGAATTAGAAGATGAAAAATTAGTAGAAATGTAAAAAGTACTAAAAACCAATGAAGATGATTCTGATTCAGATATTGTGTTTTCAGATGATGGAAAAGAGAATCTGGCTTCAGATGATGAATCATTTGTAAGTAATAAAATTTCATCAAATAATCACGAAAATTCATTTACTAAAGAAGATTTAGATGAATTTGAAAATAGGTTCAGAACATATTTACTTGATTAACATCATAAAACATTTTAATAATATAATGAAATCATTTAGAACTTGCAGCAGACAATGAAGATCAAACTGATAAGATAGATTATTTCTCTAATTTTGTTAATGATATCATTACTTTGGTATTTAATCCATTTATAACTACTATTATGTGGTTCTTTTTATGATGAATCAAATTTATTAGCTGATTATTAGATTAATAAAAGTGAATTTATATATTACTTTTTATGGACTATAATTTTAATTCCCTTTTAAATGATAATTGACACATTTGGATATAATTTAGTTGAAAAATATCATCAATGGATTTCCTCACTTATATTAAAAATACAAGAGAACGATTCAGAAATAGAAATCTATTTTGGAAAGCTAGTGAATTTCAAAATAATTTAAATTGTGAAACATGATCGTCCACTTGATTGCAATAATTAATTTACATCTATAATTTTAGAATGGCGTTATTCATCTTAATTTTACTTTATTACCACTTTATAAGTTTGTGCCATCTAGATGATTATTTTTGGCTCACACATCATTTATGTCAATAAATATAATATATTTAATGATGAAGGTATCATATTATAAACATTATAAGCTCTAATTTTTATTATTTTCTTCTGGGTTGTTGTTGCTTTCTTTCTCCATCATCTATTTTATTGAAATTGGTAAAAGATTAAAAATCTGGGATATCTCTAAAGAATCTCACCTCAAGATGAATAAGTTATGTCCTCTATTGGAGATATTGATAAATTATCAACTTCTCAAATAACTTCAGAACCTAAATTGCTTATTCCCAATTGGAATTTAGCTATAGAGTTTAGAGAATAGACTGAAAGACTCTCTGAAATCAATAATAATTTCCAAGATTTTACTAATGATCATTTCAAAAATCTTTTTGTTACTTCTAATAAGTAATGGTTAGCAGATAATATCTAATTAATGTATGTATAAAATTATTAATTATTTAATAGATTAAGTCCAAAAACTTTAAAATAAAAAAGAAAAATAATTTTAGATAAATTTAATTCAATATATGGTCCATTAGAAAAAAAGAATGAAGAAAATCCTGTTGCTGGATTTGATAATGCTTAGAATTTTAGATAATTTGCCAAAAATTCTTAAAAAAAAAAGAATAAAAATGGCTAGAACTTCTCCATAGAAATTTAATAAACGAATTGATAATATGAGTGAAGCTACAAAGGATATACTTAAATTTGGTTATATCGCCAAGAATTATGAAAACAGCAATTATATATATAGGAGGATTACTTGAAAAGATTACAAAACCATTCTGTGAATATTGTTAATTAAATTGGGGATTAGGAGTTGATACAGAAACTAGAATAGAAGATATTTATTTAAGATTTTTAAAATAAAAAGGATTAAAGTAAATTTCATTGAATATGGGAACTGAAATAGATGATTGGTAGAATTTCTTTCCAAAATAGTGTAGATTTAGACCAACTTGTTTTATTTGTAATGGTATTAAGATTTTAGTATTATTTTAGTATTTATGGGAGAAGAAATATAAAAAGATAGAGTTAAATTACAAGGAGAATAGAAACTAGTAGTTTAGAAAAATAAGAATAAGTACACTCTAAAAAAAGTGGCAAATCTTATCTTGATAATGATAAAATTCATAGATATGGCTTAGAAATTAGCTTTTCAGAATTAATGATGTTATTAAGGAATTTATCACTTTCACTTAAAATAAATTAAAAAATCTTTTTAAAATGGGTAAGAGAATCAGAGCACAAAGAAAGGGAAAATCAAACAGTGTTTTCAAAGCACATTAAAATTACAGAGGTCATAGCTTAATTGGCAACAGGAAATGTTCTACCTATTGGATAAATCCCAGAGGGTACAGTAGTTTGCAATTTGTAAGAACATCCAGGAGATAAAGGTGCTATGGGAAGAGCAACTGGATGTTATGCCACTATTATTGGTCATTCAGATGATGGAACAATAACTAGAGTTAGATTACCATCTGGTA